TATTTTATCAATAACATATTGTTAGTCTCCATGTTTTCCTTTTTTGCTCCTTTGTTTCTCTGTTGTTGATTTCCAGTTTCATAGCATTGTGGTCAGTAAAGACGATTGAGATAATTTCTATCTTCTTAAAATTGTTCAGGTTTCTTTTGTGCCCATGTACATGATCGATCCTGGAAAATGTTCCGTGAGCATTTGAAAAGAAATTATATCCTATTTTTGGGGAGTGTAATGATCTGATAATATCCACCAAAAGTAGTTTTTCTACTGTATTATTTAATTTCTCTGTTGCCTTATTTACTTTCTGTCTGGAAGTTCTGTCTAGTGACATTAATGCAGTGTTAAAATCTCCAACTATGGTTTTATCCCCATCAATATCCCCCTTTATCTCTGTTAGTAATTGTTCTGTGTACATATGTGCTCCTTTATTGGGTCCATATACTTTAACGATTCTAATGTCCTCATCTTGTTTCACTCCTTTAATCATTATAAAATGTCCTTCTTTATCTTTCTTTATGGCCTTTGTTTTAAAGTCTATTTTGTCTGAAATCTGTACTGCGACACCTCATTTTTTGGCTTTTCCATTTGCATGGAATATCCTTTTCCATGCTTTCACTCTCAAACTGTATGTTTCCTTCTCCCTGAAGTCGGACTCTTGTATGCAGCATATTGAATGTTCTTGCTTTATTATCCAGTCTGCCACTCTATGTCTTTCGACTGGAGTATTTAGTCCATTAATATTTACAGTAATTAATGATAGATGTGTGTTTATTGCCATTTTGAACTTATCTTTGCAGTTGAATTGGTATATCCTCTTTGTTCCTTTCTTCTTCCTTTTGTGGTTTGGTAATTTTCCTTTGTATTATCATGGATTTTATTTAATTTTTGTGACTCCATTGTAAGATTTTGGCTTGTGGTTACCCTTTTTCATAAATTTATTAGCCCATTACTATAACTGTTTGTGTTAAACTGATAGTAACGTGATCTCAAACCCATCCTACTGATAAAAAATTCAAAAAAGAAAGGAAAATATATATATACTATATTTCTCTGTGTCCCTCTTCTACTCTCAATGATTTGTATATTTCTTCTTTTATAATTTCATGTTTATTTAGCTTGTAATTCATGAGATATCACCTTTCCAGTTGTGAGTTTCACATTTCTGTAACATCCTGCTGCTTTTCTATTCAGAATACACCTTTCAATATTTCTTTTAAGATGGATTTAGTGTTGTAAATCTCCTGTAGATTTTTCTTGTCTGTGAAATTCTTTATCTCTCCTCTATCCTAAATGATAGCCTTGCTGGATAAAGTTATCCTAGGCTGCATCTTTTTTTCATTCAGGGCTTTGAATATATCTTGCCACTCCCTTGTGGCCTGTAGTGTTTGTATAGAGAAACCAGCTGAGAGCCTTATGCGGGTTCCCTTGTAACTTATTCTTTGTTTTTCTCTTGCTGCCTTTAAGATCATTTCTTTATTCTTGACTCTGGCCATCTTGATTATGACATGTCTTGTTTTGGTTCTATTTGGGTTCTTCCTGCTTGGGACCCTCTGAGCTTCCTGTACTTGGATATCTGATTCCTTCTTTAAGTTTGGGAAGTTTTCAGTCATGATTTCTTCAAAAACCTTTTCAATTCCCTTCAATCTTTCTTCCCCTTCAGGGGCCCCTATTATGTGAAATTTTGGATGCTTTATATTATCCCTTAAATCCCTTATGTTATTTCCATAATTTTTTTTATTTCTCTTGTAGCTTTTCTGATTGGGTGCTTTCTATTGTCCTGTCTTCTAGGTCACTAATTCGTTGCTCT